AAACCTAAACCCTAAACCCTACCATCAGCAAGTTGACAGATGAAGGCTGCCAAGAACATGGAGGCCAAGCAAAGGCCACAGCGGATTCTGGACATGGCTTCTCCATGGAGGTTTAGGGTTTAGGGATTAGCGTTCAGGGTGTACTGTAGGCTCCCTCTGAAGGGGGTTATAGGTTAATTAGGGGCTGGATATTAGGGTCCCTTCAAAGGGGTTATGGGGGTATTAGGGTCCCCTCAAAGGGGTCGTAGGGTTTTGTAAGGATCCCTAGACATCAGGGGAGTAATGGGCAACCAAATGGACAAGGAAATGGAACATGAAATCACAACTGGGTTTGTATGGTGGGGGAGGGGTGGGTGATGGAGATTGTGCTACGTAGGGGCCAGAATAATGATATGTCCCCAGGTGATACTAGGATCATACATATATATATATATACATAAGATTTACGTTGCATTCCTAGATTGCAATGCTCTGTCTGCACAAACACTGATATAAACACAGTTGTGAGTGAGGTCTGCTTCACCAGGGTCATGGGCATATGGCTTATACCTCGTGGAGCCTATGCACTTTGAAAAAAGCTTCGTTCCTGGTATAGTGGTATCTCTAAGCTTTGCAAAATCTATTAAGGGCTTCATATACTGCCCAATACTTACCATCCGCCTGTTACTGCTTGGAGAGTCAGGTGGCCTTAATAAGTAGATGAATCATGGGGAAAATTAAGCTTACTATTTGGGTCATAGGGGGTTATTAAACTACTTACTAAGTCCCCGTGACCCTCCAGGTGAGCCCTAAACCCTAAACCTGAGGCCTAAACTCTACACCCTGAACACTTTTGGGCCGCTTCAGTGCTGCGATGCATGGTGGAACTGATTTGAGTAGTTCTTGAGGTAGTTCTAAGGGTATACGGGGGGGGGCTCGGGGTATGTAGGGATGTGTGGGGTCTAAGCTCCAGGGGCCCAATAATTTCAAAGCATGGAGAATCAAGTGGACAATCGCATGAAAACATACAAGTAAATTTGGTTTATAGAGGTGTTTCATAGGGCATACCATCATGTAACAAAACAAATACTCGTATAATACAGCCTTGCGTACATGTGCCTCACTCTGCTGCTCGGGATGCGGGCGCGGACGCGATTAACTGCCCAGCCAACCAGGACCTTCCTTGTACCCTTAATTGGGGATATATGGTCCCTAATAGTGGGTACTTAGGCCCTAATAGAGGGTAGGAGGAGGGTCTAGGAACATTGATCACCTTCTCCAAGTTTAGTCTTGTCTTCAATCTGTTTTTGGGGGAAGCGGCTGCTATCTAGCGAGGGAGGTGATGCAGCAAGCTCCAGGCTCATACTAAATCCTTGGTGTATATCACAACAGTGAACATGCAACAGCAAACGCCAACTTTTAGCATGAAATTATGGAATGGGTATCTGTTCAACCGCGTTATACAACCCGTGTCATCTGCATGGTGCCCGGTTCCTCCTAGCAAAATTATGTGTAAAGCCATTTGGTACCATCTTCCAAGTAAGTAAGCCACCATCTGGGGTGAGGTTGGGATAGCTTGAACAGCATCCCTCATTCCCGGCTAATAAGAGGGCTCAGGTTCACGCCCCTTTGGTACCAGGTTTACACCTCGTAGCTGAGTTCCTACGCCCCGTTGGGGTGGGCAGGGGGCCCTTGCGTGTTTGCAAGGTATGATGCTGCACGCTGCCTGAAGCCCAGGAAAATAGAGCACCAGAGCAGTGTCAGTATACCTGGCTGCCTCGTTCTATTGTTGGGGCTAAGTGTCTGGAGCCAAAGAACGGACTACGCAACATTCTGAGATCCATGGTTGCAACTTACCTACAAACCACAAACCTCATAACAGAATCCAAATACCCAAAACTATGCTATGCTATGCCTTTGATTGTTATTTACAATTCCGGTCAAAAGCTTTCTCTATTTCCTGAAAACCCTCAACCTTAACCCCTAGAACTGACCCTAAATCCACCCCTATAACTCCAAATTCCTGAAACAAGATCCTCTAAACCCTAAGCCCTAAACCCTAAGCCCCAAATCCCTACGCCCTGGCCCCCTTTTCCTCACGCGCGTTGAGACCTGTGTGTAGCATGTCCAACTCGACTGCGTCTTGCAGCCGCGCTGTTGCTCGACTTCTCATCTTCGGAGAGAATCCCTGAGCAGCTTGGGAGAGTGTGTATATACATATATACAGATAGATAGATCGATATATATATATATATATATGTCTGTGTGTGTGTATGCATGCACCTCCTCGATACATATGTACATCGTGTATATACATATATATATGTGTGTATATATATATATGCAGACAGATCGAATATCTATAATTGTATATATATATATATATACCCCCCCCATATGTGCATGTATAGATATATATATATATATACATATGCATGTACTTGTTTGTACATGTACATCTTTATATCTCCATATAGGTATTTATGTGTGTAAAGAGAGATTTCGGTTCGCAATTGGGGGCTGGATAGGACTTACTTTGAGAGATGCCGATGTAAGGGTCCAATTGGTTAGGACATGACTGCTGGGTAAATAGCCAGGTATTGTGAAGCTACCCTAAACTCTGAACCCTAAGGCTCTGGGTGCACATGGCTTCGTTCTGCTGGGCTGAAGATCAAAACCAAAGTACGTTGGCGGTCAAAACTCCAAACATGTGGGTGGTTGTCAAAATTATGGTCCCTTTTTGGGTCCCTATTATAATACGGCCCCTAAAATTTAGGGTACCCAAAAAGGGACCATAATTTTGACAACCACCCATGTATTTGCCAGTTATTTCGAGAATCCACACGGGCGGTTCCATAGAGCGGGGGCGCCAAAAGAACTAGACCTTGAAATACTGTAGTCGTCATTACAAGGAGCGCCGAAATCGGGGTCCCGACTTTCACAGGGGCTGCATCCCTGGCATCAGTGCAACACAACCCCCACCCAAATATGTCACTCAGTCTGACAAAGAACGGCTGTCTTACAAACCTACATTGCCCCGAAAATTTGCCATGGCCAAGCAAATACCAAGGCTGGCCTCTTGCCTCACTCTAAATCCCCAAAGCTCCAAACCATAAATCCACATGTACTTTCCATTGTCCTTATCATTGCCTCTTCCATTGCCCCCGCACAGCCCCTACAGAATTCCAAGCCTTAATCACGACAAACCACTATATTATCCCAATTTGCATTTAATCTTCCATTTGCTTTTCCATTTGATTCTCCATGATTGCCCGAATTTCTTTCAACAACAGCTAATATCAAAGCGGCGCTAGAGAGCATAGCAAGAGCGAGCTATGGCGCCGCAGCCCCCAACGCGATTCTGGGACCCCAGGCAGGAAAGGTCATGGGCTTGTGGTCTTGGGGCCTTAGGATAGCCAAGTCGACACATCAGAACACAAGTAATGCAAAAGCGGGCCACAGAGCGCACTGACCGCGAACGATGGCGCCCCAACCCCCAACGCGATTTGGGCACCCCAAGCCAAGAAGGTGCAGCTCCAGGTGCGATGTCAGGGGCGCCAGAATACTCCAGACTTCGAGAGGACTTCAAGATCCCAAATCATGGGTTCCTGGCCTTGAGGCCTTAGTATATCCAAATCGCCTCTCAGACAATATAACTAATGATGAATGTAGAGGCGGCGCCACTGAGCGCAGCCGCAGCCGGCAATGGCGCCTCAGCCCCCTGCGTGATTGTGGTACCCTAAACCAGACGCGCGATGCTTTCAGGTGGAAACCCTAAACCCCAAGCGGCAGGCTGAGAGCCAGGCCACGAGAAAACATTAGCCTCCAGCTGCGTTGTTCGGAGCAACGAGCACCAAATGCCCCTCCTTTAGGATTTAAGATCTGTATAGGGATTAGGGATTTGGGGGTTTAGGGGTTTAGCGATTAGGGGCGTACGGATTTGGAATTAAGGGATATGGGGGTGGATTTAAGGTTTCGGGTGTGAGTATGGGCGTAGGATTCTGGAGCGCATGGTTTTGTGGATATTGGTGCAGGATTTAGGGCTTAGTGTTCAGGGAATTATTCATCAGCTTTTCAGGGGTTCGTCGCAGGAGGATATGACACCATCATACCCTGCGGAGGCTCTTGTGCTTGCACACTTCACCTGCAGCTCAATAAGAGGACTCCTGCTGACATCCACGGGATGCGTGCGTTTGCCGGATGTACGTACCTCCCCGCTTCGCAGCCTAGAGAAATCGTAGGCTGCGTCTACCAATTTCTGGCCCCATAGACGTAGCGCTGAAATCAAACCCGAGACGGAAGACCGCACGCCCTTGATTGAATACATGATCCGAATGGTTTTGTGGAATTCGCAACCTCAACTGCACAAAGCATGCTTCTCCAAATTTTACAGCCCCAAATGTCGCAGCGCAACCAACAATTGAGGGTTTATCTATAGCTAAACCAGAAATAGAATCGCTAGCCAGGTTACAAGTAGTTAGAACTGAACTGGAAATCCCTAAACTCTAAACCCTAGACCCTAAAACCGTAAACCCTATCCCACTTTGCAACCCGGTTAGGCTCCGAAGTGGCAACTTGCAACACAGAGCTTTCACACCTAACACCTATATGGTAGCTTTCCAAAATAGGGGGACCCCAATTTAGACCCCCCCAAATACTATAGTCCTTGTTATGGGGATCCCCAAAAAGGCGCATCTAATTTTGGCAAACACCAAATACAGCACGACGTAGAGTTCACTTTTTCGGGCGTCAGTTTTGGACTTTGACCTCAGCCCTGTTTTGGGGTTTAACGCGGTTTAGGGTTTAGGGTTTAGCCTCCAAGCCCTAAACTCTCCACAAGTTCTCCTTGTCTTCCTCCCAGAACTCGTGGGCAAAGTCCCCATCAGCGTCACGCTTCAACGGGGCTCCAAACCTCGAGTAAAAGGTTTGAACTCTAAAGCCTGGTTTAGGGCTTAAAGTTGAGGGTAAGACACGCCTACGTAAAAGGTTTGAACCCCAAAGCCTGAGCTATACTCTTTAGAGTTTAGGGTTTAAAGTTGAGGGTAGGACACTCCTAAGCCTAAAGCCCGAAGCCGTAAACCCTATACCTCGTACCGCCTACACCTTAATCCCTGAACCCTAGACTATTAACTGCTGAGGGTTTAGGGCTCAGTCGCCGAGGCTGGTTTGGGACTCAGTTTTGAGTTAAGGGACCAGGGCTTGCGAATCAGAGCTGTATTGTTTCAGGGCTGAGGGTTCAGGATCTAGGGATGGCGTTGAGGGCTTTCGCGTTTAGGATTGAGGTGAGTTTTCAGGTGTCAGTTGCCCCGGAACTTGCGTAGGTTGGCATCAAACTTGGCGAGTAGTAATCATAGCAGTTCTCTTGGTAGCAGTAGCCATCATACAAAAGGTGAGGTGATGTCCTGGCGATGTCTGTGCCCGCAAGCATTTTGAAGTCCTAAAGTGGTCTTACCGGCTTTCTGCTGAGGAGTGTCCAGTTTAGACCCCTCTTACCCTCGAAATCTCAAACCCCAAATCATGTCCCACACCCCTCAAAAAGAAAGCTGCCAGGACCATATAGGTTTTTTGCAAGAAAGCGGCCCTAAACCCAACCCTGACCTCGAACTGTGCCGTGTTGAGAAACTCCTATATGAGACCTTGCAGGATTTCTGTTCCGAGACCTCTTCGGGTTCCTAGCAACAGGTACGGTTTTCAAAGTCGAGAGAGTTCAAGAGCGCCTACCCCAAACCCTACACCATGACTTACACAAAGCCCTGTAGGCAAGCTGTAATGTCGCAAGCGAGGTTAAGGGGCGAGGGTTTAGTGTCTGTGGGATTGCAATTACTGTAGGGTTTCAGGTTTAGCGTGGCCGTGGTGTTTGTTTCAGATCAGGTCTAGCGTAAAAGGCCTGGGGATTCTGAGTGCCTTTTAGAGAACTTAAATTGAGTTACCATAGTCTGGGTACTTAGATTCATAGTAGGGTGTCCAGCTTTTTTCGATTTAGTTCTACTTCTTTCACTTCTGTATACCTCCTGTATAACTCCAGTTCAAATTGGCTTCCATTTCAGTGCTGATTACAACATCTCAACGTAAGCTCTTGAACAGCAACGTTAGGGTTTAGGGTTGAGGGTCTAGGCTTCCCTAGAACTTGCATGCTTGCCGGGCTTTGGCGTGACGGCGCAGATTTCAGGCTTCTGTTTGTGGATTCGGGCTCCCCAAAGTTCAGGCTAACATGTAGGTTCTCCCTCACACCAATCCCCATAATGATACATTATATTCCACTCGTGTATGGTGGTATTACACTGCCTGTATTCATTAGGGGGATTGGAGAATGTACTGTCAGGGGGGGGGGTGAAAGACAAAGATTACCTCACGCCACTACTGCGTATTGCTCGTCATCCCGCCCATGACTTGATGTAAGCTCAGCATCCCATGTACGCAGCATACACACCAACGCCACCCACCCTCCTGTGTAAACCCCTAAGTTCCGCTTGCAAGCTGTCAAAGACATGGGTAGGTGTGAAAGAAGGCTTTCTAGCAGTCCTCAAAATTGCAGAGCCCCAGCAGAGGAACCCTCAAAGCTCGGATTTTGGGTGGTGGAGCGAATCAGATCATGTTCTTCTTTACAAAATGGCTACGAGCAGGGTATGATGATGAAGGGTGACCATAGCACAGTCAGAAAAACAACATAACCCCTGCGCAGTCCAAGTTTCCATTTGATGTTCCATTAGATTATCCATGGATTTTCAGTTTGATTCTCCATTAGTAATTGGCCTGTAGAGTATGTAATCCCAAACCCAATGCTCTAAACCCAAAACCCCTAAGCCCTAAACCCTAAATCCAGGGTATCACCTTGAAGGGTCACTGAGTCACCGGCAAGCCCTGGTGACGACCAGACCCATCTGGAGTCTCGACAAAAACCTCAAACTAACAGGGCGCCCTGCGTGATCCCAGTAAACATCACTTCAGGGAAGTTGTGAACCCCTTTGAGCCACACCAAAAGATGTTTAAACCAACCAAACCAGGCAATAAAAAGGACGCCTGTCTGAGTTTCACAGCTTGTTGGGATTAGCGTTTAGGGCTTGGAATTCTGGATCTAGGGTTGGATGTATTTGCCTGGGGGCTGAATAAGGAATGAGGGAATATGTAATGTAGGGATTATATGGGGATGATATTCCGTCATAGTACATATTCCTTTATTCCCTACCGAGCCCCAGTAAGGTATGGGCTTTGAGTGGTAATGTTGGAATCAGGTGATCTCAGACCGGTAGCGCTCACTTGCGAGCCGAATCTCAGGGTGTACGCGGTTTGGGGTATGGACCCCAAAATAGCCGCTATGGAAAGTAATTTTCCTTGTGCGATGGCTTATAGACCCAGGATCTGGAAATACTTTAATGTCTCCTATATTGTGCCTCAGAGACCTACAGAATCTCTATGTACTTTCCCGAAACCCTAAACCCTAAACCCTCCTCTAAATCAAACCTCAGGTGGGATCTGCCCGGGCTGAGGTGTATGGTTTGGGGTTTAGGGGTGTATGGTTTCCCAATTCCTGCAGGGGCGGCCTAAATCCGAAAGCCTTTAGTCACGAGGGACTATTCTGGTACATAGCCTTAGAACCCCTGCATGTCTCAATATCCTACTACTCTTATTTTCCCAGACACCAATCCTATCAATATATTGTGGTTGGAGAGTGCCTGGATACAAACATACCACAAAATTGTGATCAGTGCGGAGAGCCTAGTTGGCAAATGCGCTATATCATGGGAAAAAACTAGAGTAGGATTTACAGTAGATTAGATCGGATCGTACAGCCCAGAAGAGGAATTAGGGGCTTCAGGATAATCTACTGTAATTTCTACTGTAAACAACTTTGTCGACTATAGTGCGCTACCAAGCATTTCCTATAAGCCAAAAGCCCAACCCTGAACTCTGTAACGCAAATCAGCGAACAACAGGAATCCTGCTCATGTTGAGCGGAAGACAACTTCACAAGATCCACAGTAGACCCTGAAACGCTTATGGCTCTTAGTTGAATGTAGCAATAACGTTGATGCTGAACTCCAGGCCCTACAGACGCAAGTCCCCTAAGCCTTTAGTCCTAAACCTCCCTGCTAGTTCAAGACTGACATCAAACCTGAATCCTTACCTGAATGTTGGACACTGTCTCTCCTTTGATGTCACAGCTCAGACTTTGTGTCACATATTCAATATTCACAGATGGTACAGGGGCCTCGATAACTTGACGATGGTTTTGGATGGCGTTGCGGCATGTTATGCTTTCAGTATGTAAAGGCTACGCGGGGATAATTTTCCTGATTATGCAGGGGAAGGGCACTGAAAACCCAAACCCCAAAACTCTGACCCTAAACACAAAAGCCCCATACTTTACTTGGGACCTCTGGGACCCGAAAACATTCGTACAATGTGGCCCAAAGGCCCTAAAACCAGCCGAAAGGACCAGTATTCTACATACTTTTGGGGGTCCAGGTAAACCCCAAGCTCTATATCCTAAACCCTGAACCTTAAACCCTAAACTCTACACACTAACTCCCTAAAGCCCTAAAACCCTTAAAACCCTAAAACCCTGAACCCCACAACCCCAAAACCTGAACCCTAAAACCCTCAAACCCTGGGCAGGGATTACAATAGTTGAAGGCCCCGCCGGCTCCGCAGCGGGTGGCTGGATCACCGTGTGCCGGGGCAGGCCTAGTAACCTGCATGCCAGCAGTTTAGGGATGGGGTTAAGGGTTTTAGGGTTTTAGTGTTTGGGGCTTAAGGGTTTAGGACTCAGGATTTTTCCACCTGCGTGGAATGCTATGGCTGAGGGTTTGGGGGTGGCCCTTAAAACCCTTTGAACAATATTAATACATAGGGTCCCCAATCAAAGCAATTAGGGAAAAATACTAAATATCCCAGGGGCCTACCCAGAAAACAATATGGCTTCAGGGCTTCGGGCTCATGTGCAGTTTAGGATCTGAAGAGATCCATTCTCATTCAGCCCTGGTGTTGTTCAGCAATTTCCCCAGAATTACAAGTGATCCCTGCTATCAATTTGGAGTTTGGAATCTCTTGCGTTTCGAGGCTCTGGTCATCTACGTGGGTGGGCTTCTTCAAAAGCTACCCTAGTAGGTGTTCTTAGACATTGTACGAGGAGACACCACTGACTTGGGGTTTAAGCAATTTTCGGAGCAAGGGGTGCAGTCCAGGGTCCGCGGTTTGGAAGATGAACTTGTTGTTCGCCCTGATGCAGTTGAATTGATACGTGAAAAGGGCCATGTAGAATTCTGGGTGATCCAGACCAATATCCTCTGAGAGTGAGTCCTTGCAAAAAGTAAGACTACAACACAGGAACCCCCCCCACCCCCCCGGCAACAAAGCCTAAGCCACGACACAAACCTGCAGTACCCTCAAGCTGATACGGATGGCCTGTTGATATCTTCTCTTGCTTGGATGACCCGTGGGTCCTCTGCCAGGCATACATGGTGGAATCTTTGCTTTTGGATGCTTGCAGGGCCAGAGACTTCCAAAAGGTGTAGAGGAATTTGAAAGATTACTTCCCCAACGGGTCCGAGTACCTAATAATCACATACTTACCCAAAACCTATACAATAGTTAGCATGACCCTAAACCCAAGTAGCTAAATATTGGGTACTTGGACCCTCTGGGTTCACTCGTGCTTCGGGTTTGATAGCTCAGATGAAGTCTCAGGCCTGGCATTGCTGCCAATGCCACTGGAAACTGCCGGTCCGATGGCTGCAGCAAGTCTGAACCCAGACCCCCAAGGGGGTAAGGTTTAGGGTTTAGGGTTTAGAGTTTAGGGTTTAGATCCCCTAGAACCATATGGGAAAACATACAAGGATTGTATAGGGGCTATAATGGGTTTATATGGGGGATCTAATTTTTAGATCCTCCCAGGGGTCTGGGAAAGTATGCTTCCGCTTTCCTACACCCTGGTTCACATAGTCATGTAACTGTGAGGTAAGCCATAGTCTAAACTTCTAGTATCCCTCTTAATAACCCCTATAGTAGTGCCCTGTATAACCCCCTATCTAACCCCCTTTAAGGATTTAAACTCCAGCTCATGTAATGACGGCCGTGCAAGAACACATGCCGGAGCACGGAACCCCAGCTCCCTGTCCTCTGAAGCCACTGTCATCCTCAGCATCATTTCCCGGTAGCCCTGCGATGTGCAGAGGCACGAAAGCAAGTGATTTAGGAGAGGGGAGTTGACAGTCATCAATGTGCAGGGGTGACAAAACGTTGGTTCCTTGCTGGATGCCCTACAAATTAGGGGCCGTGGTATATGAGGGCAAAAATCCATGATATTGACAACCTGCCAATTGACAGAAGTCCTTCCATCAGCTGCAGGAATGAGCAGGCTGTCTGTGACACCAGTCTTGCCCTGCAGCCGTCAACAACTGGAGCCAGTCTATGATGTCAACAGTGGATTTCTGGGCCAGAACTTAACAGAAGTTACCATTCGTTATTGAGTTGAGGAAACATATGACTTTCAATATGGCGATATTAAGGTAACTTCTTGTAGGTTCAGTAACAGCAACGCAGGCTTGCAGAGGAGGTACAAAAGATGGGGAAATAGGCGCCTCCAATTGTGTACTTCTCATGTCATTTGCTGAGGTAGCCTCAAAGACCCGAGGTGACAATCTGATAAACCTTGAGCTCAACCGCAATCCCCCAAAACCCAAACTCTTATAGTCCCCCTTAAGTAGATAGAATATGGGGTATAAGGGGATCTTATTATAATATTCCCAAAGCCATATTCTATCTACTTAAGGGGACTATAGCCTTAAACCCAAAGCTTTCAGCGCCCAGCACGGAATATCACCCGGAACTACGTAGTACCGTCCCAAGAGCGAACCCCCAACAGACTCCAACATACTACATTCCATATTATCGTAACCCCTAACAAGGTATTCCTAATTTTGGGAGACTACCACGCGGAGCCACGACTAGATTCATTCCCGCTCACAAGGTATTCAGCTCCAAATACCCTTGCAGGAAAACCAAATCATGATCCCGCAGAATTTCAAACAAGTACGAAGCGCCGCACGCTCAAGCTACATGGTAGTGGCAGGCTTCAAAATCAGAAGGTGCATATTAGGTTCTGGAAGTTCCTGCAGCCCTAAACCTTAACGGGACAAACCCACTGTACTCTGTACCAAAAGAACTGATTGTAATCATAGGTTGATTCCCTAACTCCTTAAGGCCCCACAAAGGGAGACCCCTAAACTCCGAAACCTAGCAAACAACAAACACCTCAACTTTAAATCCTAATCCCTGAACCCTCAACCCTAGCCCCGAAACCCTAAACCTCAAACCCTGCACCCTAAACCCAAAACCCTAAGCCCCCCAAACCACATGCCTCCCAGCCAGGCTGGAGGCACCACGGCCTCAACAACAGTCATTGGGGTTCCTTCCAGGTTTACGCTTTGGGCTTAGGGTTTGGGATTTAGGGTCTAGGATTTGGGGTGTGATAGCTTGGGGTATACTCTCCACCGGGATTTGATTCTGAAGGCTTCAGAAATAGGCTTCGGGTAAGCTTAAGGGTTTAGGTGTGACGTTGTAGTTGCTAACTGTGTAGCGCCAGGTAGACTTTGCTATACGCCCTAAGCCCTATCAAGTTGTTATGGCCTTCCTTTGAGGCCTCATTCAGCGGCTTCTAGCTTTTCAGGTAAGCATAAAGATCTCACTGGGTGGGCTTGAATCCCATCCCCTAAGCCCGGACCCCTTATCCCTGAACATCCGAGACCTGAAGACATCATTTTAGCTTCAGAGCTACCAAATCCTGCGACCGTTGCCCGAATTACATGCTAGGAAGTCTCAGAATGTAGGGTTTCGGGTACTTGGGGCCGCATATCATCATGGGGACACAAGAGGGACCATGAATTTCATCTACCAGAAATCACACATGAGTACGCAGCTTACTAGCAAGACATTACATGACTAGCGTGTTGTTTCGTAGTTGAACCACATAAGGCTACGTATTCTCATCTTGTAAAATACTATAATCAACACGAGAAAATAGTCCTGCTCCCTGTTCGAGACCATGGTATCCCAAATGAAACACAATTTACAAGCTCTACAACGAAACATCCTGAAGCCTTGAGCCTAGCTGAGTTTGAGAGCATCCTCGATGCTCCCCTCATGCTGCTATCAAGCACCCGCCGCCAGCACTGAAATATCCCCCCCCCCCCCAACATATGAGGTGTCCTCCGGGCATTCTTTAATATTAGGCAGGGGGGCTGATGTTGGGGAGGGGCTTCGCGCTTTAACGTGGCCGAACAGAACAAGGAAAGGCCATATTCCGCTTATACAATGCCGATGACGATATTCAAACGGATGATATAATCTTACTCTGCTTACTCTTCTTCTTCTTCTTAAGATTTACGCGATCTCCAAGGGGTCGCGTCGTGGCTTTGCCCTGTAGCGCTAGGCTCTGTCTGTTGGATCTCAATAATGTTACTGCCCCCTCTCTCTCTTGCAATACAGGAATACTCGGTTGTAGGGTTTGGGTTCCCACACTTCGGATTACAGCACCACGCAAGACAAGGGCCCTCTGCCTCGAACTTCATGTTCACTCGAGTACAATGACGCAGGCGCTGCGACGGTGCTCTGTACATGTTGCTTGAAGAACTTCGCAGTGATCTGGCCCTTTTACAGGCAACGCAGAGCGAGGCACATACAAGTCTAACTTGTCAGGTGAGCCAGGTGAGCACTTTTTCATGCAAGTCAGATTCTGACGTTGCTGAGGCTTTCTCTTCCTGTGGTCCCCTTTTCCTCTCTGCTTCGCATAGGTTTGACCATGCAACGCCCTTCCCGAGTGCAGTCACGCGCAGGATGTTCACGACATGAACAACTGATGACACCGAACCAACATTCAGCACTTTAGGCAGTGACTACAAAGACGAGCATACGCGCTGCAAACCACGACAAAAGACAGCCGGTAGCAAGAAAAGGCGCTTCCGAGAAAAAAGGTGTATTTTGGCATAGGAACCAATCAATCTCTGGAGTAGGGTTTGGGGGTACAGGATATAGCTCTAGAAGCATCATACAGCAATATTACCAGTATTCCTTGAAGCTTCTACATACCCGTACGTGCGACGAGCGACATGGTGCAGATACGTCTTGAAAGATGGAGACGGACCTTTCCCCAGAGGAAACCCAGGCTTCCTCCAAACTTACAATTTGCTGGTACCCCTACGGCTCCTAGATACCAAAATAATAGGTTCCTGGGCTATGTAACCATAGGGTATATACACCTCAGAACCCAGTATCTAGGCAATTGGGAGCCCTATGTGCGTTATTGGGTTATTGCAGGAGTGGATCCCTATAATACACCAGCCCAGATATAATCCCGAAAAACGGAATAGCTTCATGTCCTTTTCCATTTCTTTAGTCCATACTAACAACCAGCAAAGTCAACGTAAACCTCTCAGGCACCCGCGACTGAGGCAGCACTGTGCGGTACACATGGAGCTGCGCAGGTGAGGAAGGAGGGGGAGTTTGGCGGGCAAAGTAGGATAGTCTTCAGGGCTGAGTACTGAGAAGGTTCTTGGGGCGTGTTCTGGAACGCACAGGCTCAAAGTAGGCAAATTTAGCTGAGCATGTGCTTCGGGCCCGACTATCGACAAGTTCCCTAGTTTTTCTTCATGCTCCACTGCAACACAAACAGGACCAGCAGCAAACTGAAATCTGTCCACCTGTAGCTGGCTAGGACCGTGAGCAAGCATCAGAAAATTCACATTATGCTCTACCACCTGACCATGCGCGTGAAGTGCAGAAGTCACCTACTGGAAAATTGGTACCATGAACAGCAGGCGCGGACCCTGCAGTTCTAGGAGGACAGTGAGTTCTGAAATTTCGACTTGACTCCGAAGAAGGCGGTCAATCTGGCAAGCCTCTGTTTACCGCTGAGAATACTCTTGCTTGGAGATTAGATGTACGTCACCACTGCAGTTGAAGACCCATATGTACTGCAGGGACGCTGAACCTGACTGATGGCCTGAGGGTGTGGCTGCAAGATGTACAAAAAACTGTCGCGTCGGCAGATAGGTTTACTGAACCCCTTAGTCAAAAAAGGTCATACTCATGACTTTCCCAAACCACACCCCTATACCTGCCCGAAACGAATCTAACTAACCGAGAACCTTCGTGAGCGGGGGAGTTTACGGTGGATTAGGTCACCCATAAGTGTACCCAAATGTGAGGAGGAGCCAAGCACACAGCAGGGCTAAGCATTAATCATATATGGTTATGACGGGGCTGTAAATATGCATATATATATACACACACACATATTTCTCTGTTTATAGTTTATATATATACATACAGATGCATCATGCAGGGATTTTACTGCGCCTAGGGTTGGACAGCGGATTCAACGGGTAATGGATATGAGCCCAAGAATGGAGAATCAAATGGAACAAAACACGGACCATGACGCGTGAAACTGGGTCCATCTAGTAAGTTGGCGGGCGGCTGGTGCTTCTGTTCTAGGCTTTATGGTGTTTGCTTCGGAGAGGAGTTAAGCTTATAGAGGATCGATGAGGCAACAGTTTGTACAGGACCTTGCTTGTTTCAAGAACCTGCAATACAGGCTTCAGGTATTCCCAATCCATTTCTACCTATATGGGTGGTTGTCAACATTATGGTCCCTGTTTGGATACCTTATTATAGTATGGCACCTACTATTTACAGTAGGGTACCCCAAAAGGGACCACGATTTTGACAACCACCCATATGGACCCTATATAATCCTTGAGAACTGTAGGGCTTTGGCAGCGTTCAGGAGCCGTATGCCTTGAAAAGGGGCCAACTATGGGTCGTTTCATATCCTCCTCATGGGGACTCCTAGCTGGTTTCTGGAAACCTTGTCAGAATTCTCAGAGGCAGGCAGACGGCCCTAAACCCTAAACCCTATGTCACTCTCGGTGGCTGGCCAAAAGACTTTGCAGCTGCAGCGTGAATGCAGCCTGTGTCTGAGTCTTTCCCTGAGGGTCCAAGGACCCAAATACTAGGGCTTTAGGGCCCAAGTACCATTGATATTATAGTATTTGGTCCCTAAAACCGTATTATTTGAGTCCTTGGACCCTTAGGGTTTGCTTTGAGTTTAGGGGCTTTGGGTTCTGTGCACTCAAAACATGGGGTAGTCTGGGACTCCTTGAAGAGGGATGTGGGAATAAAGGCATTGACGCGTAGGCTTGCTTAAAATGGAGTAGGTTCCCGTTTAATGTGTGGAAAAGTAGAGACCAGAAGGATTAGAATACGTTCTTGCGGTAGTTTGCAACATATCAAGCTGCCCATGTAGACCTAAAATGAAGCCAGTTTGGGACGATGTGCAACGGTTGCGCTTCTCTGGTGCGGAGTTGCTGTTTACGAACGTGAGCCATGTCCACATATCTCGAACCACCTAGATCTTCCCGACACCAACCCTAAAACCCTAGAGACCCCAAATCCTTAAACCCTAAACTTTAAACCCTAAACCCCAAATCCCTAAATCTAAACCCTTAACCCTAAAGCCTAAAGGGCAAACCGGTTCAGAAGGGTCTAGCTCGTAAACAATCACCCCGAACCCCCCTAATGCTTGTTTCACAGAAGTAGGGGTACCCTTTAAAGGGGTTCCAGGGGATGTATAGGGTGTAGGTTTAGGGTTCAGGGATTGTGGTTTCCCAAGATTCTGGTACTTTTTGGGGTCCTTTCTACAAGGATCATAGTACTTTGGGGTCTGTGTTGGGGTACCCTAACTTTGGGAAACCCCCATATCCCTAAACCCTAAACCCTAAACCCTAAACCGCCTTTTCCAAACTCTGACAGCCCAGCTGCCTGGTCGGAATGCCCACGCTGTCCCCGATATGGGTGCCTCTCCTTCGCTGCAGAAGAGTTTACAGTTTAGTGTTTACGGTTTAGGGTCAGAATCAGGGGTGTTTCCTCAAATTTATTCTTGGGGTTTGCATTTGGGTCGCGCTACCTATGGAAACTACAGTACGTAGCTACAGTCAAGATTTCCCTAGAACGTTACTGGAACTGGGGTTCCTCAGTAGAAAATACAATAGGGACTATCACTATAAAAAGGGACCCTTATGTCCACCCTGGATGGTCCCGTGATAAGGCTAATGTTGGCACTAGCTCATCCCTAAACCCTAAACCTGATCAATAAATATATAGTAGTTTCCATTTTCTTTTCCAACCCTAGACCCTCATGTAACCCCACATACCCCTATATATCCCCTCTAGTCCGTGCCTCATCTAGATTTTGGAAAGCCCGGAAAAGCCTTGAGGCTCAAGATTCAGGTGACGTAGGTCAGGTTCGGGGTGCAGCGTTTAGGCAACAAATTGGGTTCCGCCTGTAAACGCCATCTCATGCACTTTGAAGTCATGACCTACAACTTTGAAATGTGTTACCTCTGATTTGCTCAGGGCTAGGGGCTTGGCGGGCTTTCAGGTCCGTTCATACCAGAAAACATTCTATTCAGGACTTATGGTTTCTGCAGAAGGTTGGCATGCTAGTCTCGAAAGAGTAGCGGTTTTTTGGTGGTTAAACCCAGTAAGATAATAGTCTTTATATAAAATACTATACCCAAAAGGAGGATATATTCTTACCCTATATTGGGTACCATAGTATCCCCAAATAAAATACTACTCAAAAGAACATGCGAGATGACCTGCGGACCAAATGTCCTGTGCCAGCTTGAGAAGTTTCTGGAACTGTTCCTCCGCGAATGCGGCCTGCGCATGTGGAAGTTCACGCCGGGCTGGCGTGCATGTACATTCTAAGGTTGAAAACACGGGCCCCTAGTTCGGGCCTTTACCCCCCTAGGATCCTCTTGATAAACCCTGCAATACTCCCCTATACTTCCCCATATTTTCCAGGTAATCCCCCTGTATGGAGTTTTGACTATAGCTCATCCTATATACCCTACATGTACCCCCAATCCCGGGATCCTGTACGCCCTAAAACCAAATCCCTAAACCCCAAACCTTAAATCCCTACACCCTAAACCCTGGGACCTCAAGGGCCCCTGCATACTTCTAGGCCTTAGATACGTTGAACTGGCACGATGGAAATTAACATCCCTCCGGCTCACAAGACGTGTTTCTTGGGGATTAAGGGCTCAGAGGTTTCGGGGCCTAAGGTTAGGGATCGTGTTAGGGACTAGGGTTTAGGGGTTTAGGGCTAATGATGGCTAGGGTTTGGGGCTTGGGGTTTAAGGGTTTAGGGTTCGGGATGGGTAAGGTTTAGGGTTTGGGGGTTTAGGGGTTTTGGGTTAAGGATGGTTAGGGTTCAGGTCTCAAGGGTTTAGGGGATTGGGGTTAAGGATGGGTTTTGGAAACTTGCTCAGCTGTGGTCATGGCTAAATTGCAACAGCTGGTGTTTGGGATAAGCGAGTCCCCTGGTTTTACGCAACCACCAGGATCAAGTAGAAACGTCTTTTCGGCATACTGGCAAGACTGATGCTTCCTGATCTGACTGATTTAGGGTTTAAGGTTCAGGGTTTATGGAGACTCAGGCAATGTACCCCAATTCCTACCAGAGAAGCCTAGATCGTAGATAACCAAGTGGACAAAAAGATGCAATGGGCCCATGGGGGGGTCACAGGGATTATGTAGTGCGGGGTGCTTACCTATATGATTTCCGAGGCCGGTTTGAAGTACCCTGTACTATAGTTGTACAATGAATCTGGGACCACAAAGTTTAGGGTTCAGGGTTTAGGGTTAAACCCTAAACCCTCATCCCTGAGTCACTCCTGCATAGGGCTGCCGGCAGCCCAGCTTGTAATCCTTATGACCCTTGTGGCCAGCGCAAAAAGTCTTTTGGAAGACGTGGTAGTTTCCCAAAACAAGGGACCCCAATATAGTGTCATCCTTATCATTGGCACCTGCAAAATGGTATCCCGAATGATAGGAAACCTTAAACGCCAAACCCTATATACCCCTCTATATCCCCTATGTATCTCCCTATAAACCCCTTCAAAGGTACCCATAATTTTTGAACACCCCCACACCTATCAAAACCCTCTACGCTTGAAGAAAGCATGCCGCCGCGCCTTCAAAGCCTGTTGCAACTTGAGGGCCTGAGACATATGGTATAGGGTTTAGGGTTTAGGGTTTGGGGTTTAGGGTAGGGTTTAGGGCTTGGGGTTTAGGGTAGGGTTTAGGGTTTGGAGTTTAGGGCTGAGGGTGGAGTTTAGAGCTTAGGGTTTAGGGTAGAGTTTAGGGTTTAGGGTTTGGGGTACAGGGCTTAGGGTCATAGGGTGGGTATCCCCCCCCAAAGGAAAAGACAATGGAAACTACTACTTGGGGTTTCTGGTATAGGGTTTACAGTCACAAGGGCCCTGTTCAACTTTTGCACTGCGCGGCTCATAGCGTGGGTCCTGCCAGCAACCTGGAACAGTCCATAGTAGGGGTCATATTAAGGGCTCTATATACTTATACTATGAAAAATATCCAACTGTTAACGAATGGGGGGAGTACCCAACTCATAGCCGCTATCCGCTATCACTTGAAGCCTCCACGTCAGTTCACTCTTTCAGGCTCCTGCATGAAGGACTCTTCTATGTGGGTGATTCCCGAGATTTTGTGCCTCTTCGGGTTATAGATTAAATTACGGCACCTTCAGGGGTGCCGAAAGGGGACCCTGATTTTGGGAACTACCCATAGACTTTTGTGGGGCAGAACAACAGGAAACTTGCCTTGACAAATACTGCTGCCATGCTACACATCTTGAAACCCAAAAACATGTCACTCGTAATGATGGGACCATCCCATCATGAGCCTGTCAGCCAATACTGAGAGCAAAAACACTTTGCATCTGTAGTTCTGCTCCACCTATATATCTTGGGTAATGCCCCCACCCTGCAACAGTCCATATTAGGGGTCATATTACTGGGGTTGCTGTTAAGGAACCTGAATTAAGTTACCATAATGGGTATATATATATATATAGATTAATATGGTTTCCCCAATATAGTAACTTAAATTAACTTCCTCAGGGCTCTATAGAGCTATGTTAGAAATACTACCCAACTGTTGCAGAGTGGGGGCAGCACCTAATGCATATGCAGTGCTTCCAGCAAGTTGGAATCTTTTCCCGGGCGTCCCTATAATTCGGGGTGTAGGGTTTAGAGTTTAGGGTTCGGGCTGTGCTGAGGAAGATCAGCTACAGTCAATATCCTACTTAATTGATTGGACGTGGGGTCCTCATTGGGGACTATATTAGGGGCTATACTATACCCCAGACCCCCTAAAGGATCCAAAAATGGAACCCCCCCAATATGAACCCATTACTACATTGGGGAAAGTAGGGGATTATTAGGGGGTTCCATTTTTTGGATCCTTTAGGGGGTCTGGGACTAAACTACAACAGGGACCCAAATGACCACCTTTAAAGGGTCCCCTTAGTAAGGCCAATATTGATAGTAGTAGGGCTTTAGTGTTTAGTGGGAATGCGGGGGAATCCCCCACCACCCTATATATGGGGCCCGGGTCCGAAAATTGGGACTACTGTTTTGCGGGTAGATTAGGGTTTAGGGTTTAGGGTTATAATACGAGCTATTTTGTTTTGGGATCTGTATCAGGGTTCCCCCTTTTCTGGGAACTGCCAGAAATCATATATAGCCAGACCCTGGGCTCTTTGAAGCTAAGTAACGTGCTATTTGTAGGCAAACAAAATCCTAGAGTGAGGACCTGTTATACTAAACCCTAAACCCTAAACCCTAAACCGTGTGGCTGCAGTGTCAGGGCCGAGATGACAACTTGTACGCAAAGCCTGTTGCAGGTTTATACGAGCTCTAAATCCACTACAGAGAGCTGGTACATCAGCCTATGGATGTCTTGGAAGTTCATGATATTGGGTAAGTATAACCCAAATATAGGCGTACTTCAATCACAATCAAATGCTCCTAGGCCCGACTCATACTTGCCTATTTGGGTCCTAGGTATCAACAATATTCTACCCTGAACCTCCAAAGAGAGATCAGACTCAGAAAGTTCCAGCCAAGGAACCCCTCCATTACAGTATATGTTTGAGGGCTTATAGAAGTCGTTGTCCCCTTGAATAGACCAAATTACCAGACTCCTCCTCGACAAGGGGACTCCGAACTTTTGGAAACCCCCAGTCATGTGAGCCATATTCTATGCTTAAAGGCGGTTATAGCGGGGGCCTGCTACAGGGGTTATAAGGGATACTAGGAGTTTAGACTAGAGCTCATGTTGAGCCGCCTCCTGAACAGTGTACTGACCCTCGACGGGCTCTTTGCTGCCACCTGCACCACAGCGGAAGGGGCGGAACACCCTAGACCCAAACCCTGAATCATAATCCTAAATACTAAGCCCTAAACCAATTTTGAATGCGAGCTTCTCGAAATACATAATGATTGTAGACAATAGTTTCCGGGCCAAAGGTATTTAAAATTCCTCAACACATTTTTGAAGTACATGGAGGGACTCAATATTAAGTGAGTCAATGATGGAGATTCGCTGTCGTTGTGGTATTGAGGCAGAGTCTACCAGATAATGTCTGGCACCTGTGTTGCTACCAAACTGCGGGGCTCTCTATCAACAAAGGCTATTGCAATAGAGGACGCAATCTATAGCAGCCTTCTGTCCCCCAGACCCTAGACACCAAACTAGGATCCCCGGAAACCTAAAAAATGGACAAGGGTTTACCCAACACCCCATGTAAACCCTAAACCTCACTGTAGGAGGCTAGGGTTTAGGGTTTGGGGCTTAGGGTTTATGGTTTAGGGTTTGGAACCTCATGCCCAATGATCCCTCCCTACCCTTTGGTTTGAGGGCTCCGGGTTTAGGGTTTTGATTGGCTGTTTTCAGCAGGTCAATTTATGATATGGGAGTAGACTGCATGATTCCAGACCCTAGACCCTCAACCCCAACCCCTAGTACCTGAGCCCTAAACCCGAATCTCTCAACCCTAGCACCTGAACATTAACCCCCGGAACCTGAAGCCTAAACCCTATCCCCAATCACGAAACCCTGAACCCTAAACCGTAAACCCTCAGCCGTGGGGTTCTTGAACACACCGGGCTATGCCGCCTGAGGCAGCCGCCGCGCCTTGACAAGAAAATGGGGGGCTACTATCTAGGTTTAGGGTTTAGGGTTCAGGGTTTCAGGATTGGGGATTAGGGTTTAGGCTTCAGGTTTTTATATTGTTTGCAGGGCTCTTTACTCAGGAGTGTGCCCTCAATAATACCAGGATGCCCTTTTACGACAACATGATCTAAGGTATGTCCTGCTCTCGTGACGGGCACTGGGCGTTCGGGGGTGAGCACCTGGAGCGCAGGCAGGATCTAGAGAGTAGAATCCGCAAGGCTGGGGTTTAAGACCTAAGGTTCAATGCAGTCTGAGAGGATCCAGAAAGCAGAGCCCCCAGGAGTTTAGGTCTTAGGAACTAAAGTTGGGTATTTTCTAGGGACCCCAGCCTAGGGAGATCTGCTGTCAAGATCCTCTCATGACGGCAGCAATGGCAAGAATCTGACTGGGGGTATGAGTACGGTAGGACTTACATTGAGTAGCAGCGACAGGCGCGGAGGCAGAAACAGTAGTAAAGCAGCAGGAGGAGGAGGAGGAGGAGGAGGAGGAGGAGCAGCAAGAGCAGGAGCAAGAGCAGCAGTAATGGCAGAAGTCGAAGTGCGATACACCGATTAAAATGACAATTTGTCCCGTACTAGTTTGTGGCCCAAAGAGCAGAAGCATGTGATCGTTGGGAATTTCTTATATTGTAGGTCATCGTCATAGTGCTCCTTTCAGAACTTCTCAGCCTAGGACGTTATGTTCATGCGGTAGAAGCAAGCCGGGGGAATCTGTACAATCTCAGGGCTTGTACAGAAGGGTGGCTAAGCCCTCACGGGAAGGGGAGTGAGTATACCACCCTTAAATTCAAAATCCTAAGCCCCCAGCCCCAAACCCTAAACCCTAAACCCCTCAAACCCTAAACCCTCAAAACCCTAAACCTTTAAAACCCTAAACCCTTAAAACCCTAAACCCCTAAAACCCTAAACCTTCGGCCTCAATGTGTAATTACTGGGAGCCTGCAGGTTGTACAGTTAGGCTTCTGATAGATAGGGTGCTGGGCTCGCAGATGCCTAGAGTTTATTTTGCGTTTCCATGTTAGCTTCCCCATACTTAGGGCTAGGAGTCTGATAGCCAAAAAACTCCTAAACCCTAAGCCATGCGCTGGAACCCCTCAACCCTCAACCCCAAACCATACACCCCTAAACCCTCAGATCAATATCTCAACAACAGGCATTGGCAGCTCAGGTCATTGCCAGAGGGGTCGGAGCCTAAGAGGCTGAGAAGTGGAACAGGCTGCAAAGAAAAGGAAGGGGTATAGCTGTAGGGTTCAGGTTTATGGTGTAAGGTTTAAGGTTGGGGGTTGGCACAGACACCTCTGCTACTTGGGCGGTATATAGGGGTGCGGAGGGCTTTTGGTTTAGCGCTTAGAAAACAAGAATAACAAAGCAAAATGGAGCGCCGTAAAGCCACGTTGACAGAGGAATAAGGTGTGTGTGTATATTTTTATATAGCACCTATTTAGGAGAGGGTAGCTGTACTGGGAGGTTCATGGGACATGGTAACTACTTATAACTGGGCTTTATAATCCTTTTTCTAATGCCCCTAGCTGCTTTCATAGGGACCACTCTGGTTTGAAGTAAGCTTACAAGCCTGGAAATAAGCAGTTGCAGAGTCCCCAGAGACATCCAGCCAGGTAACTGTACCAATATGTTGGCCACTAGAGGCGGGAGTGGGTCTCTACCTGACCTGTACCAAGAGTGTACCGCAGTGATGGCCACCAGCTGTAGTAGTCAGGGTCTCTGCGGTGGGGGTGAATCTAGCTTAAGAAGGACTTGCTAAAGGAAGAGCACAACTGAACGCCCGTCCTTGCGCAAACTAACCCTAAACCCTAAACCCTAAATCCTATTGCGCAAACTAACCAGTTGCTAAGGCCTCCCGGCTCCCTCCACTGAATTTTGTCACGCCCTGAAGTTGCAGTATACAGGGTTTAGGGTACAAATTGAAGGAATGAGAGAATTAAGATACTGACAGCAGTAAGAACAATTTAATGAACAACTGCTGTCAATGGAGGACATCTTGCATCACCCTATATTGGTGGTTCTCCAAACTAGGGGACCCCAATATAGACCCCAAAAGGATCCTAACACCCAGGGGTAGAACCCCGAGCAAGCCTGAAACCTTTGACTATATTCACTTCCCCACTCCCCCTAAGCACCAGTAGGTTCACTAAGCCGGGCAGCGCGACCTCAATGTTGAACCGCGCCCGCACGGGAATTTCCCAACCAAGGCAACAAAGGGTACCCTGAAAATGGATCCCGGGGATCTTCATTATAAGGGATTTTGTGACATGATTTCGAGAACACCCATATGACGAAAACTGAGTATACTCTGTTCGATCCTGAGTATCGGAGCTCAACGTCTGGTCATCCAATGTCCACAAGGTTTAGGGTGTGCAGCTTTGAAGGTTCAGGGTCCGCACCTCTCCATACATCCAAAAGGACAGAATCGTGGCTATGCCATGAGGCCACACCCCCAAACCCAAACCCTAAGCCCGAAAGCTCAAACCCTAAACTCTAAACCCGAACTCCTAAACCATAAGCCCCAAAACCAACTCCGAAACCCTCAACGCCCAATAAGCCCATGGCCCTTGCCGCCCAGAACGCCAGAGAGTTTGCTCTTGGCTCCGGACTTGGTCAGCGGTCAGTTATGTCAATTTACTGTTGGTTTACAGTTTAGGGATCTGGGTCAAGGGCTTAGGATTTAGGCGTTGGGGTGTTGGGGGCGAGTTCTCCGTTTTGGGTGGCTTGTTCAAAAGAGTACGTACCTGTCAAAATGTTGGAAGGAGGATAATGGGGCATTTAGTGCCGGTTTAGGGAAGTCGTATAGGCTGGAAGATTACAGGGACTCTATTGGTGTAGGTTTGCAGAATTCAAGGGCTTATTCCAACTTATTTCAATGAGTACCACAGACTTGAGGATATATATATATATATATATAGAGAAACAGCACAACAATCAACAACTGAAACAAGGCATGTACGGGAGCTCATCTGGGCGATCCCGTGTGTCAGTATGAGGATGGGCAATGCGGATTGTTGGGGCTCGATAACCGTAAGTTTCTACAAGGACTACCAAGGACTTACATCCGAATCTTTTCAAGCTACATAATCCCTAAGGGTCCAAGGACCAAAATAATAGGGTTTTAGGGCGCAAATGCCATCAATAGGGCCCTAAAGCCCCATTGTTTGGGTCCTTGGACTCTTAGGGTAATGAATGCTGATCTCTAAAGTTAGGCGATCCCCTGTTGAATCCAGGCCATCTGCACCAGCAGTACCCACAAAGGTCTCACCTTCTGAGAAAGCCTGCCGTAATCCCTGTGCTATTTCCGCAAGAACTCTCAAGGAATGAAAGCTGTGCGGGGCGTCTGGCAGGTGTAGCACACAGCCCTAGACCCCAAACCCACAACCTTAAACCCTAAACCCCCTCGAAACCCTAAACATTGAAACTTAACTAAGCCCTAGACCCTAAACCTCAAACCCTAAACGCAGGGCTCGGCGCCAGCCCCTGCCCCATCGACGCTCAAAGAGAGCTCTCCTTGCAACGCAGGCACTGTTTAGGGTGGTCTAGGGATTTGATGTCGAATCTGCGTCTACACCATACATAGGAGTTTTCCGAAGTTCTCGTCCCCACGAAGACTCGTTGTGACGACCGAAGCATACCGAATACATTTGCAAGTTTCAAGCAGATAGGGGTCCCTTTATGGCGGTACTTCTAGTGAGGGTTATTCCATTGTGGGGTCTACATTGGGTCCCCCCTATATATGGAAACTGCCATTTAGATGGCTCTAGTTTTGAGACGCACGTGGTAGAGAAACGTGGTACTGTGTGTTCCCAGACTCAACCGCGGTTCAGGGTTTAGGGTTTAGGGCTCAAGTTCATTTTCTTAGTAGCCGTAGCACCAGTTGCAACTACCAATGCGGGCCTCCAGGGTTTAGGCTTTAGGGCTTAGATTTTAGGATTTATACCCTCAACCCTAAACCTATAGGGTTTAGGGTTTGGGGCTTAAAAGGCTTTTTGAGAAGGCTCAAGCTGTTCAAGCCCGTGTGCAGCTCCCTCCAAAACGCAAAAGCCGACGGGAAAGTAGCGCCGAGGTGATTGGCATAAGGTTTTCGGGGTATGTCGTACACCAGCCCTACGGCGCTTAGGAAGAAAGGGATTATATTCATCAAAATTTAGAGTCCCTAAACCCTAAACTCTACCCTAAACCCTGAAACCTTGAGAAGGCATGCCGGATGGACCTTGGCACTCAGCGACCAAGAGCCACAGCACCAGTGGAAGATGTCATATCTAGGGCTTGAGCCTGTGCACGGCCATGATGTGGCAGGGGGTTGCTTTTTCCAAAGAGTTCATGTAGCAATATTGCATACATGGTGGACCCTTGGGGTTTTGGCATGCTTGAAGGCTTGTGGGTGGCTTCGAATGCATGCTGCGGGGTTCATAGGAACTCTGCCCAGAAAAGCGTTGCAACTATTCTCGCAATTTTGGGGTTTGCCAAAATTGGGGGGTACCTTTTTGGGAGTCCCCATACTAAGGACTATAGTACTTGGGGGTCTATGTTGGGGTCCCCCTATTTTGGGAAACTACCAAATTATGTTTAACCCCAAACCCCAAAAAGTAGTTTCCATTTTCTTTTCCATTATCCCTATATACTCCCTAAATCCCCCCTATATTACTATAATTACCCTTATGTTTTATGTGGAAGAAACGCCAGGAGATCTGGAATCACACGCGCGCACTTTCTGAAAGTCTTTGCTCTTGTGTCCCATCATCACCAATGACGCCTCCACTGAGCTGCAGATGTTTAATTAAGCAAAATCCCTACCTTCCATACCTCTGATGACTGTGCATTTTCAGAGATAACACGTTCCCAACAAGTTAGAGTACTCAAGTGCAGCAGCCGTAGCGACCCTTGTTTTGCGACAGCGAAATCTCAAAGCTTCGCGCATCAGCCCAGCTTTCTCGTAGCTGTGCTGGCATGTACAGACTGCTTCCAAGGACCAATCAAGCATGCCTGCTGTCAAGCCACTATAATGAAACAAATTCGCAGCTTCTGAGTATTGATGCTTGCTGGCGATATGTCCTGGCAGACAATCTGCACTGACAAACCACTACGCACTAGAGGCATCGTGCATATCAGCGCTGGGCAGCGGGAAAGCTAACAAGGATATTCCACGCAGGCTGGACTGGGCGTGTGAGTTTCCCAGAAGGCACAATACATCTAATACAGACATAGCCCATGACCGTATATGATGCTAGGATCTGACGTGCGGAAGGTCTAAGTACCCAGCATTCAGCTACTTGGGTTTAGGGTAATAGTAACTATAGTACAGGTTTTGGGCACGTATATGATTATTGGGTACTTGGAATTTTAGGGTGCCTGTAAGACGAAGAACCGCTAAGCTACTACCATGCCTCACACACTCAAGGCCGAAATGCATCAGATGCCACAGGCCGGCCAGTTTTTGGCCAGAGTTGTGCAGCCGAGATTCAGCTGTTGGTCATAACACCTTCACGTACTCTCTCGCAGTTGTTTGCGCTTACTTGGTGTTGAGGAACTTAATTCAAGTTACTATATTGGGGGAACCCCTTCTATTTACTATATGTGTATACCCATCCTGGTAACGTAATCTAAATTCCTTAGCAGCAACCCAGATAAGGCCCAGGCCCTAAAGAGGGTAATCTCTTTACCGCCTCAGATCAATAGAATCGACAGAATTGCTGCACCGGCCAGGACTCCAAAGAGCAGCGCTGCTCTTCGATTCATCTCAGAGTTCAGGGGTTTAGGTTTTGTAGTCCCCCTTAAGTAGATAGAATATGGCTTTGGGTATATTATAATAAGATCCCCATATACCCCATATTCTATCTACTTAAGGGGGACTATAGGGTTTACGGTTTCGCTCGCTTAGGGTTGAAGGTATCAAGAAGGTTGTGGAATAGCGCTTTGGGCCTTGAGCTTCGGGACTGAGGGTTTAGCGTTTCCGAGCTTCATGGTTCAGGTTGTTTAGGGTTTAGGGTTGAGAGTTTGACATGGGTGGTTGTCAAAATTATGGTCCTTTTTTGGGTACCCTAAATATTAGGTGCCGTATTATAATAGGGATCCAAAAAGGGACCATAATTCTGACAACCACCACATGAAGTTTTGAGGCTTAGGATTTACGATTTGAGGGGTACCCGGATGATGTTCAAGGTGAAAAGTCCAGGGTCCATGGCATAACATGACTGACAGGTCTTCAAGGAAGTACATGATGGAGCTGCAAGACTGCCTTCTGATCAGAAACTTACCTTTGGTTAGCTGGGAATGAAGGAATGCAACAGAACATGGAAACTATGATAATGGGTTCTATAATGGGTTCTTCAGGGACTACCAGAAGGATCCATTGCTTCATTCCGAGCTAACCCCCTCAACCCCAAACCCCAAACCTTAAATCCTAAACCCTACATCCTTATATTCCTGGCTTACCAAAGGTAAGGAAAAGGGGAGGGTGCGGGAATGGGTTGGATCTTCCTGGTATGTGTCGCAAAGCAAGGTCCGTTACTTGGAAATCCATACTTCCGGGATAGCGTGGGCATCCCTAAGCCCTAACCCTAAGGCTTTAAGGACTCATACTTAAAAGGATTTTGGGCCCAATTTCCTTATGAGGTCTTTAGGTCATTTTGAGCCTTAGAGTGAGCCCTAAACCCTAGACCGTCTGAAAGCCGCAAAGCCGGGGATGTCTTTTGAGGATCTGCTTCAGGGAGATCACTTTTCTGAGAAATTGGCATATACATTGGCCACCAGGAGAGGAAGCAGTGAGAGCCCCAAAACAAGAGGACGTATAACTTCCATCCCTACTCAATCCTCATGAGGCAGCCCTATTTCTGAACTCAGCTACAGTAGTCTCTCTCTATGAAATCGGAGCGGCTCGTACGTGAGGTTTGCGCAAGCAAGTGGTATACGGCGTAGTTATGACCAAAGATGTTTTGGCATTCATATGCAGGAACTATTTCCATGAACCCTTTGTGCTCAGAAGAGAACCCTCTTAGTGCCGCCAGCAAGCTTACCTCAAACAGTGGTTCACAGCCATCTGATATAGTGGCACCAGTTTTTGGCCTCTGGCCTCATTGCAATAGAAAAGCGTATTGGAAGCCAGGTATTCTATTCAAGCCTATCGCCAGATTCCGGGCTTCAGAAAGTTTGGCGCGGGTTCAGTACCCGTGAGTGCTTACACGACACTATAACGTCACTCACCTTGCTCTCACCGGGCCCCAGTGAAGCTACGAAGACCGTCCAATCCGGCTGAAAACATCAGAAAACCTACTGAAACCAGTCGTGCATGCAATCTCCTTTAATGAGTTTAGACCCGTAAACACCTGACTCTAAACCCGCAACAACCCCCGATATGACACTCCTTTGAAGCTGAGGCGGTCTCCGGGGCGGAGAAGCTGCGGCCACCTATCAGCGCCAGCCTCGGGTCCGGGTTCAGGCGTTGTAGGGCTTAGGATTTCGGGTGAGGCGGAACAATTGGGGGAGTTTAGGGTCACGTAAAAGAGAGATTCAACTGGCTCTTGGGGGTTGAGGTTTGAGGGTTTGAAGGTGGGGGATTTCAGGGGTCTTACACTTCTCTGAACCCTGAACCCTAAACCCTAAGCCTAAAGCGCCATCAACTCTACCTGTCCTGTTCCAGACATCCAAACAGGTCCTGCTTTCCTGCATGCGCTACTTTCTGGGGTACCTAATTTTCATATAGGTTTAGGGTTCAGGGTTTAGGGTATCAATTTTTGTATATACGGGGTTACTAGACATGAAGTTAGGTATCCTGAAAGGGGTAGGCTATAGAGGTCTAGGTAGTCTCATAGCAAGCCACCCATAAATTTTAACGATCCCTGAAGCATCTCGACATGAAGAACCCATGAGGTCCTCTTGGGTGCCTGGGGTTAGGGTTTCGGGTTTAGGGGGGCTTCGGTTCAGATAGGTCTTATCAGAGCTTCTGTCGGCTCTTCGCGTTGGCTCTTTGGCGCAACAACCTCTTCTCCGATTTATGTACCGTTCAAGGTTCCGAAACAAGAGACCGCCCATACTTGGGAGTTCACGGATAGATAGAAGCGTCCCAAAGACACTAGAATGGTTGTTGTTATAGGACCCCCCCCAAGCTGGTACCCCTAATTGTGAGAGAAACCTTCCATATACCATGTAAGCGTATAGTGAGTTATTGTGCTTGTAGCTGTAGTTCTCTCACTTCTCACCCTTGGGTACTTTGGCCTCCCAAGGAAGCAACTGTTTTGAAGGCCTAGCCCCTGGCTGCATTGACGTGAAGCACAGAGTTGGGAAGGACTGCAGGCTGTGGTTGTGGTTAGGGTTCAGCCCTAAGAAAAAGAAGGGATCCTTTTGACGTGAATATAAGGCTTAAGGAATCCCATACCCTCCAGAGTATGAAGGATCCCAAACATTGATCCCGTTTAGGGGCCACTCTACAAGGACCACACTTTTGAAGCATGACTCTGATAACTGGCCAAGTACAGCAAAGCGATTTACAA